AAGGGGGATAAGCCTTTGGACAACCCATCATACTACAGGCCTATTTGTCTTTTAAAAACAACGGGCAAGCTCTTCTAGAGACTTATAGAAAATCAACTAGAGGAAAATGGTAACCTTAACGACCGTCAATACTTTTTCAGAAATGGGCGATCAACGATGGATGCAATCAAACGTGTAATGGATGTTGTAGATCTGGATCTGGGTTGCACTACCGGAGAAAACTATGTGCAGTCGTAGCCCTAGATATGGCTAATGCTTTTAATTCGGCGAAATGGCCGAAAATCGCTGGGGTTTTGCTTGATAAATTATTCCCTGCCTATCTCGTCGGTATTATACAGAGTTATTTGAGCCGACGACGTGGCGGTGGTGCACATCCGGGATACTCGAGACGGTAACGAATCATGCGCTGAATAAAGTCTCTGAATGGATGATGAGTGTGGGCCAAACCCTATCAATAGGAAAAATGGAAGTGATCATACTGACCATGAAGAGGGGCTACAGTCAGCCACTTGCCAGAGCCAGCGATAGTGGGCAGTCCCATAGAAATTAAGGACAGTATAAGGTACTTGGGAGTGAAACTCCACAGAGTACTTGAAAGGCGGCAAAGGTACAGACTACGTCCACGACATTATCAAGGCTGATGCCCAACGTAGAAGGCTCGGGTCAAAAAAAGATAAAACTTCTGTCCACGGTAGTGGTGAGTAAACTCCTCTACGCATCCCCGATTTGGGCCACAGCTCTAGTGTTCAACTGTAACGTCAAAACTCTACTGAGGCCTCAGAGAACAATAGACATAAGGACCACGATGGCATATCATACGATATCAATGGAAGCGGTAATAGTGATCGCGGTATTGATACCGTTACACTTGCTCGAATTGGAATGGGCGGAGTGGTACAAACGGAGACATGAACCGGACACTAAATGGGTGTCAAAGGATACTCACGTCGATGTACTGAGTAAATGGCAAGAGGAATAGACAATGGAAAGAACGGAAGATGGGACACAGAGACTAATTCAGGACCTAAAGGCATGGACGAGCTGGAAGAGGACATGAACCCAGACAACGTGATCGACGTCATGCTGAAGAACCAGAGTAACTGGGAAACGGTCAAGAGATTTGTGAACCATGTGCAGACCATCAAAGAGAAGAACGAAAGGTTGTGACAAGGCAATGTAAATTAGTGAAAATAATTAATTTGTGCGCCGAAGGCGAAATATTAGAGGGATAGAGCCCTCTTATTTTGTTGAGCAAAGCTCTAAATCGTTTGTTTTTGTTTATTGTTAATTTCCATATTGCAAATATACGATAAGGATACAGAGGGAAGGACGGCCCACCATGCGTGAAGTGAGCCCCTGTAGCGCCGTGATACCACATACACACAAAAAAAAAGGTATATTATAATACCTTATTTATAACTGGACTAAAAAAACCAACTATTTACCATTAACACAATGTCATAACTATCTTATTAGAAATACAGTGTGAGATAATTAAAAACAAAAATAACGAATAAAATGTTTAAAGTAATATCGTTTGTAAGCCACATGTTAAGTCTAATTTAGTCTAATTACATGTTTGAATTGTTACTGCAGAAAATTTGACTTTTTAATCATCTAAAGTGTGTTCCAAGTGAATGAGAACCTGAACGGCTGAACCAATTATAAACACTGGGTATTCTAACTAACTTTGGATTTTCCATCTAGTCATTTAGAAGAGGAGAAGTAAAAATATAACAGTAAACATAAAATATACTTACTCATTTGAACTGTAAAAAATAATAGAGTATAATAATATACGATATGTATTAGTAATATTATAATTATAAACAATTTTAAATTTATATTGGTGTTTAATATGATCGACGTTTTCAGTTTTCCTGAAAATGTATGAATTCCTGATTTGTTGATATTAATAATAGTTAGATATACCTAGATGACAATAAATTTATAATTAACATGTGGAAATATTTTGAAAGTAGGTATTGTTAAAACACCTTTATTATTCCATGTGCTTTACATTTGAAGGATTATAATATTATGTGCTATTATTTTTTGGTTTATGGAATACATTTTATTTTCAATTTTAACATAGAAACATTGAAAATAGAAGCAATTGATATTTTAATTTTGAACATGATTTAACATCATTTTTTGAAAAGAACTTATCATAATATACTTAAGGCTATAATTGGTGACGGAAAATTTTTTAGGAGTTCAAAATAGGCAATTTTTTTAAATTATATTCATACGGGTCTTGTTAGTGTATGCGTAGTAAGTGATCATTAGTTAGGTGACTGACGACTGTAATGTAAAGGAAATAGTGGAGAGCTCCCGCACAAGCATGTACATTGTACAAGTCGCTGTCTCGGCGTTGTGCACGTAAACTGTAAAACCTGTATGCTCATTCGAATGCACTTTTTATCCATCCTACTATCCTACCGATCGACCTAAAAGTACGATAATATTTCAGAAAACTGATCTGTATTTGATATAATGTCTACTTCAGATCGACTAGTCCTCATTTTAAGATTTCAGATATTCATTCCAAATAATCAACGTTTGAAAATTCTTAAATTACAAAATATTCAAACCAAAAGTAGTTGGAGTTGGACTGCGAGATTTGGGAAAAAGAACGTCATTCGATACCAATTTTATTATAGATATAATAATAAATTCAAAACAGCTTACAGAAGTATCATTGCATTAGTAGGACGATCAGTAAGATTGACAAAAGATTGGTATGTTTTGGTTAAAATAACTGATCGTCACTAATCCCCTTACAAACATAAACGCAATTACAACTTTTATTTATTTATTTAATTTTTTTTTTGGGGGGGGGGGGAGAGCTACACCGTCTAAGCACCCCTTAGTTGCGCCTTGCGCCTATGTTTACAAACAAAATTTACTCAAATATTTTTGATCTTTGATATTCAAAAATGTCTATTTATCTGTTAATGGATATTGAAGCCAATGGACAAAATAATGAATACCACAACCTTGAAATCACACTCAGAATAAAATATTACATTTTATTTTATAGTATAAAAAATAAACAAATGAAAAATATACGTACTTATTCTAGCTATATAATAGTATAATAATAATTAATTGAGTACTATATAAAACTGTATTAAATAATTTCAATAGTAGCCTTTTATTTTAATACTGCATAATTTATAACTTTTGAACTTTGAAATGCTGGTAATAAAATTTAAAAACAGTATTTTAAAGCATTAATATAAGTTTATTTTTATTCTGTGGTTTGTAAACAAATTATACTTGATGAAAAAAATAAAAAAATAAGGGGGTTATGATTTTATTGTTAACAGTGTAAACAACTTCTTGACAACTCATTGCAAGACATTAGGCGCTCTAAGCGCCTGAAGCAATACAACTTAGTTTAAGTGAATTATAGGCTAATGAAAAATGTTATCTCGTTGGAGGTAAAACCACAAACCTTGTCATGTATAATATATATTTATTAATTATAAATTATAATATTGTATTCACTATTCACCCAAGGTAAATTGTATTTATATTATGACCTTTGGTCGTTTAAATAAAAAAGCCAGATAGTTTAAAAAAAATCATACATAGGAAAATATTTGTGTATATACGTCTAAAATCCAATGTATGAAAACTGATGGTGTGGTTGGAGCCCACATACGAATCTATTTGTTTAACAATTTCAACGCACATTACGACACAGGACACTGCAGGACACCTACCCACCGAATTGTAAGTGATATATGAATTATTGGTATCTATACTCTGTTCAAAATAAGATCGTGACCCGGCGGCCGAGTTGTGCGCATGGGCGTGGCTTTGTTCCGTGGCTGCGTCCGACGCGTCGCTGTAGTGGGGACGGCATATGGCCATATGTCTGACCGCCGACCGACGAAAACTGGTCGCCGCCGGGTCACGATCTTATTTTGAACAGAGTATAGTCGCTGTATAAATAATATGCATATTGTGCAATATACGTGAATCGAAAAAGAATACAATAATTATTATAACCATATGGCACGTCACACATAGCGAAAAATGTTAGTGTTAAATGTTAGCGTTTATTGTTATAGTACTAATCACACAAATACGTAATACATTAAAAAAAAACATAAAAATTACGTACCTTTCAATTTATTTTTCCTAAAATTAGCTACAATAAGTTAGAAAAAATATTTAGTTGACAACATATTAATAGATAACCATTTAGTATTTACCTAAGATTCACAACTACAAGTATATTTGATTTTCATTTTCTTGAGGTTGAGATTAATAAATTATCTTATATGCAATTTGCAAATTAATATTAAAATAATTTATGTAAGAGGTACCATTAAATATTTCAGTCGTCAGTTCGATGACCTTGTATTGAAATGGGGTTTTCGCAGAATGACAGATAGTACTTAAATGCACATTTGCAGATAAATTTAAAATTTTTTAACCCATGAGTAATACAACTTATTTTTTTTAAATGGTAACATCAACTTTTTTTTACATATTCGGATAGAGTAATTTTTTCTAAACAAGTTTTGTAAAAAAGTTTTTTTCTAATTACAAAATTGGCATATGAAATTTAACGACGAAATTTAATATTTACGAGTAATTTGTTTTTGATGAAATTTAAATTAAATTCAACATATTGTTACTTATTAATATCTAATATTGTTAAATACCTACCTGTTTGCATGCAGATAAGATAATAAAAATAACTTTGACAAAATTTGCCAGTAATTAAGATATTTATAAAATAAATGTATAACGAACAGGAATTATAATATCTTAATTATTGGCAAATGTTGATAAATAATTTTCGCTGACTAGTAATAATTGTTTTAATAATTTCAAACTACTCTTGTGACAATTACTATACATGTAACATGGTGTGTTTTTTTTTATTCTGGTTAAGTATCACATCTTTTTCTGAAAACATTGTTATTGCTTTAATACACTGTTTTACATATTAGAAATTTATTAAAATGAATAACAGTGAAAAAGTTGAAATTATTCTGATTTTTGGGGAAATGAATCGTAGTTCTCGACAAGCAGCTGGGGTTTACGCAGATCGGTATCCAGATAGGTTTCATCCACATTATAATTATGTCTATAGAGTTTTAGGTGGATTAAATGAAAACGGTCAATTTCCTAGCAAACAAAATTGACAAATAATTTCGATGAATTGCAGGTAATGGTCTACATAAAAGTGCTTATCCACATTCATCAATAAGACATGTATCTTGACAAATTGGTATATCAGTTGTTGTAGTACATAACATTTTGAAAACAAATAGAATGCATCCTAATAAACCTGAGTTAATCCAACATTTACGAATCGGAGATAATGAACGTAGATTACAATTTTTGTCATGGTTTAGCATTCAATTTGGAATCGACAATTTATTTTATAATAGTGTTTTGTGGACTGATGAATCTAAATTCACAAAAAACGGTATAATGAACAAAAAAAAAACAATAGGTTTTGGGACGATACAAATCCACACTGGTCCCGAGAAAAAACTTTCAGAAAGGTTCGGGGTATAAATGTGTGGTGTGGATTAATTGGTGGAATACTTTTAGGTCCTTATTTTTACGTGGAACACTTACAGGTAGAAGATATTATCTAGATTTTCTAGTTAATCAATTAGCATTACTGTTAGAAAACGTTCCAATAGCCATGCGGGAAAATATGTATTTTCAACAAGACGGTGCACCAGCACACAACGCCATTATTGTTAAAAAATATTTAGATGAAATTGTTCCTAACCGATGAATTGGTACCCATGGAGTAATTCCATGGCCGTCAAGATCTCCAGACTGACCCCATTGGATTTTTTTTTATGGGGGCATTTAAAAAATGTTGTACATGTTGACCCACCTATTAATCTCCAAGATTTAAAAAACAAAACACGACTGGCTTGTATTAATTTGAGAGAAGAACAAATAAACGCTGCCACATCAAGAGAATTTTTGAAACGTTTGGAATCATGGTTGGAACATCAGGGTGGAAACTTCGAACAATTTGTTAGATAGAACTGTAGAACTTTTTTGTAAATTAATAAATCTTGATTTCAAATTCAAAAGTGTGTACGATTGTATAGTTTTCATTACCATTAGCTATCCTTTTTCAGAAGAATGAATGAAAAAAATAAGAGTAAAAAGTGTTTATTATAATATTATCTTATCTGTGTGCAAACAGATAGGTATTTAACAATATTTGATATTAATAAATTATAAGTAACAAAATGTTGAATTTAGTTTAAATTTCGTCAAAAACAAATTATTCGTAAATATTAAATTTCTTCGTTAAATTCCATATGCCAATTTCGTAATTAGAAAAATCTTCTTTTACGAAAATTGTTTCGAAAAAAATACTCTATCCGAATTTGTGAAAAGAAATAGATGTTACCATTTTAAAAAAAGTAAGTTGTATCGCGCATGCGCTTATCGAAAGTGTTAAAAGTTTGAAATTTATCTGAAAATGTGTATTTAAGTACTATCTGTCATTCTGTGAAAACCCCATTTCAATACAAGGTCATCGAACTGAAATATTTAGTGGTACCTCTTAGCGTGAACACACAGTATAATAAAAATAAAATACATGAAATTCCAGTGGGCACACCTGGACATAGAGCAACAATAATATTATGATTTCCACGATTTTGTATTTGTATTTAAATGATACATGAAAATAAAAAGTAAAATAAATTAAATGAACGACGAAATGAACGCATTCATATTTTCAAAGAACGTGAACTTGTTTATTTGAAAAAAATATAAATTTGAAAATGAACGAGTTACTTCTTTAGGCTATGAACGTGAACGAATTCATTTTTATAGTGAACGTTCTGAAGAGTGTTCCGAAATCATGTAAAAGTTATCTACATGAGATATAATATACGAAAAATATATCTAGATTCTAGATAATTTTATCTAGATAATGTCTAACACTGCCGAACACTGATATTTTATGATAATATTATTACTATTAACAAGTCATATTTTTACTACTAGCCATTTATAGTACCTATCGCATTAGATTTTATTCATTTTTAAAGGAAAAATTAAATTTGAAATTGTCATTCTGTGTATAAAATATAATAGTATAACTGTAAGTACTTAAAGAGTTTCGAATAGGTAACCCCGAAAAATATTTTTGAATCAAACAAATGTTATCTTTAAAAGATTAAAACTCGTGCCTTTGTACTTTTTTTTTATGCTGTTATAACAAACTATTGAGATTCTATTCGTATGACATTTTCAAGATGTATGACATGGCGAAAATTTTTTTATTAATATTTATAAAAAAAAAAACATTTAAATTTTCAAATGTCTATAAATAGTGAAAAAGAGTCAACGTTTTCTGAAAATGTTATAAATTATAATGTATAGATAATATTATGAAACAAACATTTCTTGACATTTTCAAGTAACTGCGATTATTCGTTTTTGAATTACAATAAATTTTGAAAACCGTTGGAATCATAAAAATGTAATATGCCATTAATATGACTAATGGGATAATATTTTTGGTGATGGACAAACTTATGGTAAAACCTGTATTATAGAGTTTAAAATCTCAGATATGAAATCAAAATTTCTACGAATTTCTAACTCAAAATAATTTGCAAATTTTTATGATTTTGACATATTTTTTCATAATTCTAACTTCTGACGTTCTGTCGTATATTGTAGACAGTCGTCAAAATATTATTATTTAATATGTATGTAATATAGGTGGGAATATTTTAAATTGTATATTATTGACATAGGTCAGGCCAATGAAGCAATATGTGCTGAGGTAGCAATAATATTTTACTATAACACCGCCGTACCCGCAGGAACGGGAGTTCCGTTGTCGCTGAGCGATTCGGCGAGGACGTAGGTACGACGGTTGTTCGTGTGAAACGTCGATCGTAGTACGGGATTGGCAATCTGAATCTGCTAAATCTGCTGAATATAATAAAAGTGTTTTGACCTGAAAAATCGAGTTTATAATAATTTCAGTCATTCTTAAATTCTTACCTTTTATAGGAGCAACGCCGGAATATACGTACTATGTGTCAATTAAGTTTTATTAAACTGAATGTGCCAGGGATATGTAATCTTTGAGTCTTTTCAACTAGATAGGAACGAACTAAGAATTGACAAGTGCATATCATCGTACCTCAAAGTTAACAGTGCCATGATTCTAATTCATTTTAGAGAGTGTCATTAACTAGAGAATACGAGGGTAAGGCGTATAGTGGGTTTACAGTGTATTATCCAATACAGGTGAAAACACAGTTCATAAAAAAAATAAAACGAATTATAACAGTCTTATAGTTTATATGAGTATAGAGTAGGTATATAGACAAATTATAACAGTATAAAACAGTAGCCTCTGAACTGTTACTGAACTATATATAGCAAGCTGCATTCTGTAAATTAAGAAATCTTTTTCAACAAAAAACATTGAAAATACTTACCTTGATCCACTAAAAAATAAATAGAACCAATTAATTAATAGAGTTACATTTGTTTTACATTTATAATACAATTTGCACAAAAACAGATCTTTTGTGATATTATAATATTTAAGTGTTAGTTTAATATTTAAATTAATTTCCCTAATTGTAAGTAATTTAGATGTTTTTGTTTCGTAACCAAAATAACTTTAAAGTGGTTTAAGAAACCAATCTGATAGCCAAACTTGGTTTATTGAACGAAAAAATCGTCTTACGCTTTTAATTTTGGTAAAATTTGTAATATGCGTAAGAACACTTCGTGTAAAAACACAGAAATTTTATATAATACCAATAAATCTAAAACTTATTCCATCGACTATATTAAAGAATCGGAAGATATGCCAATAAAAACATTAGAAAAGATCATTAAAAAAACCAATACAAAAATGTGGGTTATTTGTAGACGATAATATTCCATACTTAGAAGCAACGATTGGGAATGCATTTTTTCATTTTTTGATATGTATTGTCCAATTTTTTTTCACACAAAAAAAACATATTTTATTTTATATTATACAATAATTATAGATGGTTTGACGATAATGCTACTGTTATCGGGACTACTATCCATCGACGCCATGCACGCCTGGACTGATTCGACGACCACTCTCGCCTGGATTCAATCATCTCCACATCGACGTGCTACGTTTATTGTATACAGAACCAGCCAGATCCAGAGCCTCACACCACCATCACTCTGGCGATATGTTCCAACCAGCGAAAATCCAGTAGACTGCGAGTCTCGTTCCTGGTCCAAATCACAGTACATGTTCCTTATTTTCTGCTACGCCCGTCATAGACCTCGAAGCACGACCCACTCTCCTTGGGATAATCCCGACCAGCACCATTTTCGATCGCCTATTCCGTCGAATTTCGTCATTAAAAAAGATCATTCGCATCATTGCATATTATTGTAAACGAGTTTTTTGCGAACATAAACCCAACAGAATCGAACCATCAACCACTGAACTAAGTCACTCACTAGAGGTCATTATACTTGCCGTACAAAGACAAGCATTCGGTGACGAACTTATGCAGCTGGCACTTCAATCCACCATCCGCACCTCACTTCGGGGGTCTTTGGGAGGCTGGAGTGAAGTCAACAAAAACATCGATACACAGAACTATCGGTTTCCATCGACTCAAGTATAAAGAACTCAGTACCCTTTTAACTCGGGTCAAAGCCACACTAAATTCACGGCCGTTGAGTGCACTCAGTCCTGATCCATTGGACTTCAATGAACTAACGCCAAGCCATTTCCTTAAACTGATGCCCAGCACTGCAAACGTCGATCCGAGCTTAGATAACATACCAACGCCACATTTTAAACGCTGGAAACTCATTTCGGAACTACTCAACCACTTTTGGAAACGTTGGAAAAACGAATACCTACCGACTCTCCAGCTCCGATCGAAATGGTCAACCCGTCAAAAGAACCTAACGGTCGATACGTTGGTCCTTATCCGAGAACCAACTCCTCCGTTGTGTTGAAAGCTTGGCCGGATCACGGAAGTACATCCATTACAAGATGGTGTCGTCAGGGTGGCCACCGTCAAGACAGCAACAGGGCTTCTCAAACGTCCAACAGTCAAACTCCGTCCTTTGCCAATATGTTGAATTCCGGATGCATTCAAAGGGGGCAACATGTTTACACACACAGTCGCGAAGATAACGCACACCACTGCCCTCCCGTCAACCTCACGCTTATCATATCGAGTTGTTATTATAATTATAATTATTATTACTATTAGTATGTCCTTTTCTTAATTAGATAATTATTATTTATGCATCTATCGGCGATTGCACTTTTACGGTTTCAGGTTTCTGTCACAGAACACGGCACCGGTACCTCGCCAGTCCGTCATAGAACAAGAGACCAGCTGAAATAATCTCCGATAGACCGCATATAAAAGGCCCCACGACCGATGACCAAATACCAGTCTCTTACCTGATCTGTAGCAAGACCCACCCGGGCAGACTTAAGCATTTCAGGTAGAAACTTCCACACCCGAACTTATCGGACAGTATTTATATCGGTCAATAGTGCAATAGTCAGAGTATTCTGGCATTGCACTGACGGTCATACCGTTTGGTAGGTTCCAATCCCACGTTGTGAGCACTTTTACTTTGTACACCGATCATATAAGTAAAAACCAGTATCTTTTTTTTTTTTGATAATAAATATAAATTTGTCATTATGGCATAAAAACTCGTTGTTCTGTTTTTGCTAAATTATAAAGTAAAAAGTATATAATATATATAAAGGTAAATAAAGTATATCAATATTCAATATCACATTACCACCACCAAAAACCGTGAGATAAGTGGAACAATGGGCGGCGAATCAAATGATTTTTTAATTTATGACAACGGAAAATATGAACATTGAATTTTAGTTTTCACTCTACAAATGGAGGTTTTTGCTTACAATTTTCATCAAATATATAATGTTCATAGGTGGCTTATTTAAATGTTACAGTATATTTGCTTAATTATCCCTACCTACATTATAGTTCCAGATTTTTAAGGAAATATTAGGAAGTTTGTTTTTTCTTCCAGATAAATTGGAAAATACGTATCATTACATGTTATTGAATCACGTTTTATCATCTGTTTGAAACGCAACTTCCTTTAAACATTATAGATTTGATTAATATTATATTATATATAATTATTCGAGTTTTTAATGGAGCCCAGATTCAAGGTTACTTCTTTCCTTTATCGCGACCGTCGTTGTAACACACCTTAACTCACTTTTTTCAAATTGTTCAGGAGGCATATTAAGCTAAATAAATCGATTTTCAATTGGAAAAAATGAAAAATGTAATTGTTAGACTTCAATTGTAAAGAATAGCTATAATTAAGTAGTAAATTGTATTATTTTCAACAATTTAGACCATTTTATACCAACCAACATCAAAAACAATTAAAAAAAACTCGAGATACGAGTTATTCCAAACAGTCTAGATAATATAAGTTAGGCACCCAATAATATATTCCGAGATTCTATACAGAGTTACTTAAGAGTTATTACTACAAATGATTTTTCGGAAGGAAAAAACACAATAGAATTTTTAGTCATAGAAAAAATTACAGCTATACAGTGGTACCAAAATATCATTTTCAAAAAAAAATTGAGTTAAGAGGTGTTACAACGGCGGTCGCGTTATGCAAGTCTATATCATATATGGTGGCAAATTCATCAACTTCAACTAGTAAAGTTGAATAAATAAAATGAACGGATTTCCAAAGAGTGTAAGATGATAACTTAAATTGGCGTATTTACACATAATTGACGAAATTTTAATCAAAATTAGTTATAATATGTATACAGTATTTTCTCGAAAGTTACTACCTCATATTTCATTCATTCTTTGACAGAACTTATAGGTACTAGTGGTAATAACAACAACTCACAAAATTAAAATATACCAAAGCTTTAATAAATGAGTGTTGCAACCTTTACTCAAATTTCTCAGAAAACAACTTAAGGTTCTTGAGAGGATGTCAGCGCACTATTTGTTTTCTATCTCTGGCCCACGAGAAGCATAGATAAAACGCATTAATTCAGAATCATTCATTCTATGTTTTTAAGTAATTCTAGAGTAAAATCCCCCATTTCAAAAAAGATAGAGAATATTTTCGAAGGAATGCCAAATCGATTTTATATATTATTGTTATTTCATTATTTGTATTTGACTTTCAAAATAAACAAAAATATGTTGTAAATTAAAATTATGTGTACAACTGTTTTTAGACAATATTTAGACAAATCGATGTCATTTCCTCAAAAATATTATTCCCTATCTTATTTGTGATGGATGATTAACTAGAAGATTACTTAAAAACATAGAAAAAATGATTCTGCGTTTTGTTTATGTAGATCGTGGGAAAGAGAGAAAAAACAAATAGTGAGCTAACATCCTCGTAATGTGTTAAGTCATTTATCTCAAGTACAGAGTATAATGTATTTTCTATTACTCTTTAACTGAGTCACAATGGATAAAAAACATTGGTCGATTTTAATAATAATAAAAATAAACAATATAAAAATATACGTACTTATGTTATCTAGAAAATATATAATAATAAAGATTATTAGGTACTATAGAATAATTTTTCAACAATTTCAATAGTACACATTTATTTTAAAACTGAAGAATTAATAACTTTTTTTAGAAATTAGGTTGATACAAAACAAATTGCGTAGCATTAATATAAGCTATACTTGCAATCTATATCGTTAGTTACTGAAGGTATTTGTATTATGTGGTTTGAAAATAATTATACTTGAAATAAATACAAAATAAGGGGCGATGATTTTATTGCAAAAATCGGAAATTAAATATTTGTGAAAAAAATAATGACAATAATTCAACGGATTTGAGTCTTTTCATTTATAAACTATCACGTCTTTCTATAATTTGGATAACATTGGTAAAAATAATAATTTATATTATATAGGAAATTACTATTTTACTTCATGTATCGAATAAAGTTATAGTTTAATACTATACCACACAAATACGTAAAAACATTGAAAACCCAAAATGTACGTACATTTAATTGCAGCCCAATCTAAATATGCTTTAAAAATTTAAAAATTATAATTAGTTGCTAACATATTAATAACCATTGTGAATTGTAGGTAAATTTTACCTACAATTCACAACAACAAGTATAATTGATAATGTTTTTATTTTGGATGAGATCAATAAACTCTCATATAAATCATTTACAAATAAATATTTAAATAATTTATAATAATACCTCAATATCCAAAGTACAGAGTTTTAATTTTTGATCCCCCTTCAAAATCTATTTTGAATTACTAAATATATTTTATAAAAATATTATTACTAGGTATTAATGTATTATTAAAGCATTTTTTTTATATTAGCCATTAGTACCTAATACAAATGGTTGGGTTAATTTTTACTGTAAAATTTGCATTTGAAACTTTCATTCTATGTATAAAATATAATAGTATATGTACTTAAAAAGTTTCAAATACCTACCCCCGAAAAATATTATGAATCAATACAATTTGAACTTTAAATGCTTATAACTCGTGACTATTTTTTATTTAACTGCTATTATTATGAATAATTAAAAAACATTGTATTCAATTGTCAAGCTTTTTGACATAGCAAATATTCTTTTCGTCTATATTTAAAGAAATAAGACTTGACATTTTTTTTTAATTTGAAGCTCAAATATAATCAAAATATTTTGAAAATGATAAAATTAACGTTTGGTGAAAATTTAAACTATCTACATTTATATAACTATTCATTTTTGAGTTCCAGCCAAAAACAAAATATACGTTTTGTCAAAAACTAGTTTTGCAAACAAGTTTTTGGTATTTCTTATATTTTTTTCTTATTTCCCAGCGCTTTTAAAAACTATTAGGAGTTTTTTACTTTTAATACCTATCAATTTACCAATTTTCTACCAAAAAAATGATTAAGCAGAAATTCGAAGCATTTGCTCCATATAATCCAAGCGATCAATTTTTAAGGGGTCGGATTTAGGCAGTATTCTTTATCCATCGTTATTCGTGAGTACTGATAGTGCTTGGGACTGTGAGTATGACGTGTGTAGTGACTGTAAATTAGTTTGAGTGAGTTCCCCAAACTCTTTATATTGATTATAAACCAAAAACCCGATTTTAATTTTGAAAACATATTTGAATTCCTTATTTCTATTTTCTAGGTTAAGTAGAAGATGGATTTTCGATTTGTCGCATTAATTTCTTGCAAAACACGGACAAAAAGCGAACAAATTCAAATACTTTTTTTAAATTAACATTGGACTTCTGGAAGTATATTTTTTCTTAATTAGGCAGTATAAAAGACAAAAGTATACAGTTGCGGCCCACGATATTTGATATTTAAAATTATTTTAATTATTATGTTTTTAACACATACCATAATTTTGACGATATTGAAAGTAATACTCAAAATCACTTGACTCATCTGAAATTGTATTATTATAGACTATAGTTGTATATTATACTATCCCACCAAAAACATATATGTAAAATGAGAGCCAAGTTCAATACCTACTATAATATATGCCTTGGTTGTTGACTTCAACGACAAAAGAAGTGAGATCTAAATGGGTGCCAAGTTAGGATAATATATTGAAGCCTAAGGTGTGACTTGGCTACTTTTCATATACGAATTACTATTATAAGTACCTACTAAAACAGTAATGGAAGAGTGAAGATGATTTTCCGAAGAATAAATAAGAACTCAAAGCTTTAGAACTTGCAAATGCTATAATATATAATTCGTAGCCAAGTCAGACCTTAGGCTTCAATATATTATCCTAACTTGGC